CTCATCTCTCCGAATGACCTCCTAAAGGCCCCATCTCCAAATACCATCACAATGGGGGGCGGTTAGGATTTCAACCTATGCATTTTGGAGGGACACAAACATTCAGGCCACAAGTACAACGATGGAGAAAAATAAAACTAGGGAGGGAAATGGGTGAAAGGTGAAAGGCAGGTTGCCGGTTTGTGAGGCAGCCACCAAAGGAAAAGAGGGCAACTACCAAGTGCACAGTAACGACCACGTGCCAGGTCCTGGGCTCTGCACCTCCCATCTATTAACACAGAGCTGCCAGGGCCGGTCTGCACTGGAACCGATGTAGTTTTAGCCTGCCCTGCCTCTATCCATCGCTCCTCTCCCTCTGGGGACCACGCTGCCTCCACTGCGCGGCTTACAACTACAAGGAAGCTTCAACAAGGCAAAGATGTTTTTGTCTCTTTTGCATCTCCAGCATCTAGAACGCCTGGCACACAGCAACTGCTTGGTAAAGGAATCCATCCATCAATGTGAATGAATCGATCTTGAACAGAGTAGCAAATATTGGTTGGGGCTAATTTACCAGGAAAAGGGAATCCTGAAGAATCATAAATAATAACAATTGCTTTGATGTCTTGCTCAAGAGCTTACTTCCTCTATGCTAAGTGCTTTGCATCATCCCTGGGAGAGAGAAACATTCTCCTCCCTGTGCAGCAGCTGAGGACTTGCAAAGGCAGTGCCACCCTCTGATTCCCGTCCTTTCTGAGCCCAGCTCCTGCAGCTTGCCTAGCCTCTTATCTCTTCCTTACTTACCTGTAATATTAGCCAGCATTCCTTTCAGATGTTTGCAAAAACCTCTAGTGAGATCACTGCCACCTTAGGAGCTATGCAACCAGAATGTTAACTTTACACATTAAAATGCGTTCAGAAACCACTACTCCAGGCAGCCACAGGAAGTAACCAAGCCTGATAATTATAACAGTAATAATATTAGCTAACTTTGAGTGCTTACTATGAGCCCAGGCACTCAGCTAAGTGCTTGCTGCTCTTCCCCTATTTCCTCCTCACAGCAACCTATAAAGCTGATGTGATATCATTCCCCCCATTTTATCGGCAAGGACACTGAGGCTTAGAGAGCTGAAGTAACTTGCCCCAAAGTAACCCAGGTCTGTGCTGCTCCTTAGATGCCCCCAGACGTCTTCTATTGCTTTCTGGTTTCTTTCTCTTTCTTCAGTGTCCTTTCCCTAGGGACAAACCCTCCGTGGCCCACCAGGTCAGGCTGTTTTACATCTAAGAAGACAAGGACCGTAGACTGATCAGAGCTTGTTTCCTTGAAAAACAAAGCAGTTCTTAACAGCCACCTGATTGAGCAACGTACCAGGGCCCAGGGAGCCAACAGACCTGTGAAGATGACGACCCTCCCCACCACCCCCAAGCTGGCCACTGTTCCCAACAAGATCACGGTCAACCAGAGAAAAAAGCCAAGTAAACAAATAATCCTGCGTCTCAGGTAACTCACCAGGCACCAGCATAACAACACCCCATAGCCTCCTGCCCCCTGAAAGAGGAAGAGAAAATAAAAGAAAGCCCACTCAGAATTCTGCATTTAAAAAATGACTGAGCCCACTGTGTTTTATGACCCAGCATCGTTTTCGGTGTTAATGGTAGGGCTGAGAGAGGGCCCACCACACTATTGGTATTGTCAGGGTCACTACAGGACCTAAAAAAACACACCAGGGAGAGAGGCAGGTACTCAGAATGGCTGGGGGGAGCTTGGGGGGGTGGGGATGTGATCATTTGCAAAAAGGGTTCCAGCTCCCATTCATTGTGAAGGTTCAGAGTAATTAAATGCTGTCAGCAAAGCCAGGCAGGATGCCTGGATGTAGCATTTTGCAAATACTCATAGATTCTGCACCAAAGTTGAGGCTTCGGATCTCTACCTACAGCTCCTGCTAGGCCACAGAGGCCCCATTCCCAGACCCCAAGCCCAGAGCTTTCCCTACACTGAAGCTCCCCACCCCCACCCCCAAAGCTTCTTGGCCCCACTGTCAGCAGCCTGCTCCACCAAAGCAGAACAGGCCAGCAGCCAAAAAGCAAGTGGTGTCTTTATTCAAGGCTCTGGATTTTTCTACCTGTGCCTGGGTGAGGTGGGGAAAGTGGAGAACACACTCCATCTTCCTGCTCCAGGCCGAGAAGCATCCTTCGCTTGTTCTGAATTTCACTGCCCTCTTAACTTTTGGGAAGGGGCCCGGGAATAGGACGGATGGTCCCGACCCAAATCCAGGGGAATCTGCCACTCCCTAGCTGTGTGACCTGGGGGGATGTTTTTAACCTCTCTGAGCTGTGGGTTCCTCATTAGCAAAAGAGCAATAATCATAATCCCGTCTTACACAATTTTTTCAGAGAGTAAACGAGACGCTACATCTAAAGCATTCGGAACTGAGGCTGCCATCACTGTAAGGATGCCATGACTGCTAGACATTTAACTGCAGCGGCCTCGTGGGGATGCAGGGGGCACAAAGGGCAAAACACAGGCTTGACGTGATATACGATTTCCATGCTATTACAGGAGCTACTATTACTGTTATTGTCATTATTAATGACTAGTACTGTTATTAGTTACTTGAAGCCAGAAAAACAGAAGACACAGAGAAGGCACCTATCAGAGAGCCCATTTTAGTACTGCTTTTCTGTAAGGCCTAGAATTTCTGAGGTTTTATAGGGAAAGTATAGAAGTGACCATCAACGGGGCTCGTCAACGGTCAAAATTCTTTTAGGTTGTTGCTCTACTCCCATCTTGGGTCGGGGCAAAGATGGGGGGGCTTGGTCTCTTAAAGAGATCACAAACCAGCATCAGGAGGAGAAGAAAAAAACACAATAACAACAGGGAGAGTATCATGTCTGCACCCAACTAGGAAAGGAAATCCTAAAATAAAAATCCGAGGGTCCAGGAGGGCATCTGGCATGTAAACTACCCAAGGTGAAGTACAGCCACTAACAGGTCAGCAGCTACCTCTCCAAAGATGCAGGACCTGCCCAGGCAACTATCCAAGGTCCTCACTTCCCCAGGACAGGGTCGGTCTGCTGTCGGTCTGACCAAATTCAGGGACACTCACACAAAGAGGAAGGAAAAAGGTGTCTCATCGTCCCGGAGACCCCTTAGCGGAGCTGTCTGAGGATAGTGTCCATTCTGGGCAGATGGAAGGCCCCACACATGGCAAACACAGGCTCTCAAATCCAGCCGGCCTGCCTGCCTGCCTGCCATTCGTGAGGAGAAAAGCTACAGGCACAAGAAACTGACTGGATGTGGACGGTGGGTTCTTAGACCAGCAAGCACACAAACCAGGGGGGGTCAGGGAGTCCACAACTGAGACAAAGAACCCCTCTTTCCAGCCCAGATAAAGCTCCAGCCAGGGACAGAAGAGCACATCAGCCAGCATGGGGGAGCGGGGGAGGGGAGAGAGAGGAAGATGGATGAGAAAAAGAAACTGATTTCTTCCACTTTTCAAGAGGGGCCTGGCTGATGCAAAATTCTGCACTCACATGAGGCAAAGAAACAATAACAACAGAAAAATCGTCCTGAACGAGGCAAAACAACAATGTGGCCACACAACAAATTTGCTCTGGGTTCAATGGGTACAGCCTTATGGTGGGCACTGGACACCCCCATCCCGAGCCTTTCCACCCCTAGACCCACACGTGGAATTCCAGTCGGCCCTTATGCCAAGGCCTTGCAGACCACGAGGCAGTCAGTCCTCACCTCCAAGATGTAACTCCTCTCAATCAGCGGCGACCAGGCCACGAGGCTCTGCCCAGCCAGGGGATTCTCTGTTTGTCCTCCTGCTGCTTCCAGGAAGGTTTTTCTCCTAATAAATCTTTCAGGAAGTTCCACTCAGGGTTCGGAGGACCCACACAACCCCCTTCGCCACTGGTTGGAGACTTATAAAGATTGGCTGTGACCACAGGACTGTGTCAAATGAACAAGCCCCAACTTGTCACCACCAGTATGCAAAATAGGCCTGCATCATCCCATAACAAACGGCTGGGCAGATCCAGCCCCTTGGTCCCCAGAGCCCAGGCCCACCCACCACACACAAACACGGGGTTTCTCCATGGTTTCCTCCACCAACAAAACAGATCCAATACCCGAGACTAACTGTCTTGGTGAGGTGGGTGCGAGGGGGCTGCCAGCCTCTCTCTGGAAAACATACGACTGGAAAGGAAACACCAAAACCTCACCCTCTTCTCCCTCAAAACCCTCCCGAGTGATTTTCTGTCTTCTCTCCTCTTCTAGCAGGGCCTGAAGTTAGGTGCTCCAGTGAAGAGAACACTATATTCCATGCCTGCAAGCGATCAGGAAAATGGTTGTTGTATCCACACGCCAGACACATGCAGCCTCGTGGCTGTCCTTCCTGAAAGTCTACACCAGCCCACTGAACACTGGCACAAGTAAAAGCACGTTAGCCCAGGGAGGGTAACCCTAAGGAAGCCCACAGCCCATCCAAAAAGGAAGAATTAGGGAGATAAGGCTGTGGGGGCGCCCAGCAAATCTGGAAATGCAACGCAAAAGCAGAGAAAGTTTCAAAAACACAGAGCTGCTGAGTTTTCGGAAATTATCTTGTTGGCTGGGGGGGGGAGGGGGGATGGTCAAAGGATGGAGGGAGCATCATATGGCTCACAGACTTCTAGTCTGGCAAATAGGGGCCTCCAAGCCACATCTGCGACCCCAAGTCGATCCTGGTCAAAGATGGTCTATTTTCACAGATTAAGTAATATACCCTTGATCAAGTGCATAAAATCCAGCATTACCTCCATGCACAGGGCATTTGCTGTCACCCTCCTCCCCTCCCCCTGTCCCCAAAGCCCAAACTCGCTGCCAGTCTTGAGCCTGGCGATGAGGACAGGACATGGTTAAGGCACACACATCAGCATCCGAAAACCCCTTCCCCTGTCCAGCTACTCAAAGCGCATCCCTGCCCGCAAGGCCCCCGAGAGTTTCCAGACACGCAGAGGAGAAAAGGCTAACTTACTGGAAGGGGGCTCCCAGCCGTTGTCACCGGAGCCGCCGACATCCTTCCCGCGTGGAGATCCACTCGGGGGCCGCTCGCGGGGGCCGGGGCCCATCCTCGCCCGCGGCCCCTCGCGGCCCCTCGGAACCCGGGCCGCCCGGAGCGCCCTCCCGGCCCGAGGGCCCATGTGCTCGGCGTCCGCACGCGCTCTGCCCGCGGGAGCGCCGGGCTGGCGGGCGGCCCGTGACGTCACGGCGGCTCGCGCTC